ATCAAAACTCATTTATAACACCTTGGTGTCAATACTTTTCGATTTTCCTATTGTATAAAGTACTTATTTTGAGGACACTTTGTTCAGTCAGTCCCTAACCCCCTTAACCGCTAATTTAAATTTAAAGTGGTCGCTCATTCAGGAAAGATCAATCTACTTTGCAGCAGGTCCCTCGATGATAACTTTCATGACATCGTGGTATCCCTTAATGAGATCAACAAGACGCTCCTCAATAGCTGTATCCATTTGCTTGCGCCAGACAAAGGGGATAAATAAGAGATGCTATCTATATAACTCTATATAATAACTAGCTTTGTTAACTATCGTTGACAGAAGGGATCAAGGAACTTTTTTTGTTTACCTCTGTGTCCTTTTTAGCGTGTGGCTGTCACTGTGTTTTTGTATGATTAAAACAGCTGAAGCACTTTATCAATGAATCGTTCCAAATGAAAGATATCTTCGCTTTTAACGCTATCTTATTTTAACCTTACGGATTATTTTCATTATTAACGTATGACTAATAGTAATTGTTTCCGCTGACAAATAATATTATTAAGCTAGCAATCAAGAGATGCTTATTTCTCCGCTCTTGGCTACGTAATTATATAAATATATAAATACATAAATACAAGCAACATTGTCGGAAAGATAAACAGAGAATCAGCACTCATTTTCTTATTTGCAAAAATGACAGCTGGCTTAGAACAATCAAATTTATTTAAACCGATTATTGTTGGTAAAAATACACTAGATCAAAGGGTAGTTTTTGCTCCTACAACAAGATTCCGTGCTGTAGATGATCATACTCCAAGCGACTTGATGCTACAATACTATTCGGATAGAGCACAAGCTCCTGGTTCGTTGATCATTACGGAAGCCACCTTCATTTCTCCTCGCGCTGGCTTATACCCTAACATTCCTGGTATTTGGAACGACAAACATGTTCAAGGATGGAAAAAGATTACTGATGCAGTACATGCTAAAGGTAGTTATATGGCGTGTCAAGTTATGTTCTTAGGAAGAGTTGGATCCCCGGAGCTTTTGAAAAAGCATGGGTTGGATTTGATTTCTCCCTCTGCTATATACAAATGCGAGGAGTCCAAGAAGGCTGCAGAAGCTGCAGGCAATCCTGTGAGAGCATTGACTGAAGAAGAAATCAAGGGCATTATTTATGAAGATTACAAGAATGCAGCAATCAATGCTATGGAAGCTGGATTTGATTACGTGGAAATTCATAGTGCACATGGATACATGCTTGATCAATTCCTACAGCCCGCTACGAATCAAAGAACAGATAACTATGGTGGCTCTATTGAAAAACGCGCAAGAATCGTTCTTGAAATTATTGACCTCTTAAGTGACACAATCGGCGCTGAAAAGCTTGCAATCAGATTGTCTCCTTGGGCTAAATTCCAAGGAATGAAAGCTGAACAAGATACTGTACATCCTATTACTACATTTAGTTATATTGTAAATGAGCTTCAGAAGCGTGCAAACAATGGTAAGCAGCTTGCTTATCTTTCCCTTGTGGAACCTAGGGTCCAAGGAATTTTTGATGTCAACGCATCTGACATTGTTGGTTCC